GTGGTCTGTAGTCTCTCACCACTTTAGTCATTCTATCCATACTGCCACATTCATACCAGAATATCTCCATTTCTGCACTCTTTCCCAACTGCATCAAAGTGCATGCATCATAACCCCTTGGCTGGATGGAGTTTGACACACGCTGGCCTGTTGCCTCCTCTGGCCTCCAAACTGGAGAGCTCACCATCCTCCCTATCTCTCATCTCTAGATTAGTCTTGCCTCTTTACCCAATCCCATCCAGCCTCCCTATCTTCTGTGAGTCTTCCTAAACCATCCCCGCCTTTCTTCCTCTGAAGTTACTTGTTTATCCTCAATATTCTTCTGCATACCTGCTATATAGGTATAGAAATTTTCATCAGATAGTCCCTGTCCACTCATTTAATATTTTTCATTTCTCCCCTTGAATTGGTAGAATCTTTGCTTTCAATGTCTTATTACCCTTACCCTGTACCAACTGCATCTCCTTGGCATCCCCCATGGCATATGATGCAGTGCTTACAGAAAGGAGGGTCTATAGGAACTCAGCTGCTCCACCAGAATCCTCACTGTTATAGGAGAGCATGAACTAGTTTTGAGTATTGAATGACTTGAACATGAGTCATAGCCAGTCACCTTATTTGTTCAGCAGCATGACCTCCATCAGGACTTCTTTTAGCAGTAAATTCTGAACTTTGGGGATCTGAGTAGTCAAACTCCCCTAAAACCTAGTTTTCAGATAACAAGTGTCTCAAAAGTATCCTCTTTCTACCTTTGCCCTCAAACAAGACATCACCTATCCACTTGTCAAACCTGTTTTAATTTCCTGATTTAGTTGAAATATGTGTGGATGCAATTACATCCACTAAATCCCAAAAAGCCTCACTTCATTTTTTCCACATCTTTTATTGGTGCATTATAGTTGTACACAATGATGGAATTTGTTGTTACACATTCATACATACACAAAATATAACATAATTTGGCCAATGTCACTCCTTAGCCCTTCCTCCTCCTTCTTCTCCTCTCATCTTTTGGTCCCTTTTCTCTGCTGATCTGCCTTGATTTTCATGTGATCACCCCTAAATTTCCTTTTTCTTTTTTCTCTCTATCTTCTTCATTTGAGAGAAAACATATGAACTTTGACCTTCTGAGTTTGACTTATTTCACTTCTAGTTCCATCTGTTTTCCTGAAAATGACATAATTTCATTTTTTATGGCTGAGTAAAATACCATTTGTGTGTGTGTGTGTGTGTGTGTGTGTGTGTGTGTATCATATTTTCTTTATCCATTCATCCATTGATGAACACCTAGGCTGGTTCCATAGTTTGGCTACTGTGAATTGTGCTGTATGAGCATGGGTATGCATGTTTCACTGTAGTATGACTTTAATTCTTTAGGATAAATACTGAGGAATGGCACAGCTGAGTCATATGGTGGTTCCATGCCTGGTCTTTTGAAAAACCTCTATATTGATTTGCATAGTGGTTGTACTAATTTAGAGTCCCACCAACAGTGTAAAAGTATTCCTTTTTCTCTATATCCTATCTAGCATTTATTGTTATTTGTATTCTTGATGGCTGCCATTCTGACTGGTGTAAGATGAAATCTCAGTATAGTTTTGATTTGTATTTTCCTAATTGATAATGATGTTGAACATTCTTTTCATATATTTGTTGGCTATTTATGTATCTTCTTTTGAGAAGTGTCTGTTTAATTCATTTGCCCATTTATTTAATTGGGTTATTTGATTTTGGGGAGTAAAGTTTTTTATCTCTTTATATATTCTAGATATTAATCCTCTGTCACAAGAGTAACTAACAAAGATTTTCTCCCATTCTTTGAGTTCTTTCTTCACATTCCTAATTATTTCCTTTGCATTGCAGAAAACTTTTTAATTTGGTGTCATTCCATTTATTAACGCTTGCCAAAAAGACTAGTTTAAAATACAACCTCTACTAGTAAAACAGACTTTTTATGAATATGGAATCTCAGACCTTTGCCACCTGGGCACCTCTCAACTCTTTGTTGCCATCTTTGTGAAATCAAAGTCCATAGAGGAATTCTGATCAGATATGTAGAGAGGTTAACAGGAATCAGAGCCAGCCTAAGCAAAATAGATTCATCAGGACATTTTTAGACAATCAAGTTTGTGATCATCTCTACCCTTCAATAAAAGAAAGCAAATTAAAACCAGCATATTGTGACACAATAGAGAATGTGACAAAACTCCCCACAATGCACTGCCAAGTTTTTGGCATGCTGACATGGTGATCCTAAAATCCCTGAAATGGGGAGAAAAATGATAAATGCATAACTTCAACAAGGTTTGCTGACTCTCAACCCTCCTGCCCCTGCCCTTCACCTCACAGGCAAACTCCCTTTATTAAAGGGCTCCTTCAGTCAGGCCATTATAGATTCCTCTGGCTCTGACACTACTGTTGTCCCATCCTTGATACATGATGCTAACGCCTAGGAAAAAAAGAGAGGAGAGGTGGAAAGGACATAAGTGGCACATGTTTTAGTGATGTCGCAGCTCAGGGTTGGGAAGTGAGGCTGTACTTAGAGGAGAGGCTGGTGAGTCGTTTGCATTTGCCTTTCTGCCTCTCCTTTCACCCAGAAAGCGCATCTCGTTACCACGGAGGCAGCACAGACTCCTGTCAATCATCCCGGGGCAGAATGCTTCTCTTTTCATCACAGTGTGTTCTGTAACTGTCATGTGCTCTGCCTCACTCTGAGGCATTCTCTCGGGCTACTTACTCCCACAGACTCCTAAACACACTGACATCCTGCCTAAAATAGAACCCACCGACCCTGCCTCATAAATGCATCCAGCATTCACAGGCTTTCAGCTGAGGCCAATCAGATGGAGCAGGTCTGAGAAGGCCTAAAACACTGGGGGCAGCCAGAGTGGGTACATGCATGGAAAGGGGAGTTATCCAAAGTAGCTTGGGACAGGAGGTTGGTTCCCTAGGCCTTTCTTACATCACCTGTGGGGGTCACAGGAACTAATCTTTGAATCCTGGGAAGCTTAATGCAAGACCACTCATCAATAAAGTACTTATGTGCTGTGATCTATTGATGTGGACTACTCCTGACCTTGCTTGCAGTGGGGTCGTATTTGTGGCTGATGCTGCTGTATGGACATGGAGGCTTTGCTGGGGGAGACTGCAGGCCTGGAAACTCCCTTAGGGATGACTGAACCATCTTGGAGTAATTACTGGAGCTTTATCAGTGTCCATTGACAACTGCCATTGATACTTGATATTCGTACAGCTCCTCCATTAGAACCATCCCTCAGGGGCTTCTGTAGTGGAAGCAATGGCCAGGTGAGGAGGGGGCTTTCTCTGGCATGACCTATCCTCCAATAATGTGGTCTTGCGGTTCTCCTGTGGTTCTGGGTTGCATTTGGAGATCCAGTGGTAGCTGAGTCTAAAAACTATTCATTGAGGAGTTGTTTACTGAGAAACTACCTTCAAAGCCCTGTGCAGGTGCTATGGGGGTAGGAAACAGTATTACTTATAAACCCAGTCCACAAGCAAGTTATCACCTAGAGAGAAATTGCAATCAGGATGTGAACACTGTCGCAAAGCTGGTATCTCCAGGTGATGGGGGACCCAAGAAGCAAAGGGCAAAGCAATTATTTGGGGACCAGCCACACCCAGATTCCAGTTCCACCTGTCACTTACAAACTCCATTAAGTGACTTTGTGGAGTTCCTTTTCCTCCCTATACCTCTATGTCTTATCTATGAAGTAAAGGCATAACCAATACCCACTTCATAGAATTGTCAGAAGAATACAGAATGAAATGAAATTATACATGTGAACGCACTCTCTGAGGCATTATTATGATTATGTCTTGGTGACCCACAGGCCAGGTCACTATGCTTCACAATTGAGAAGCAATCTTTGACAATCACCCACAAAACAGAACTGCCTAACCATCCTGCATATGATATGTGCAGGAAAAAAAAAAAAACAAAAACATCTGCACAACAAGCCCCCAAGAATGCCCTTAGAAAAGTCCACCATATTTGGAAACACATCATAGTTTGGTTTTTACAGATTAAACCTCTTCTTAACAATATATGGGTAAGGTCTTTATTTCTGTGGACACATTGGACATTTACTGCTCCCTTCCGTGGTGCCTTCCTTCTTTCCACAGCAATTGGATCCAGCAGGCCCTTCCCAAAGTCAGTCCCCTTTATTTACTGCCTGAAGCCACAGGCAGATACAAAGAAAAACCTGTCCTGTCATCTTCACAGAGGCCCAAATCACCAACCTTTAGCTCCTCTTCTTGTTTAAAATGCATCATTTAAAATGCATATTTTTTTCTGATTTCACTCCCTCAGCATCCCTTCATCTCTAAGAATTTCAAACATTTATTTATGATCTTGATTTTCTCAAGTCTTCAAAGAGCTTAGGTCTATTGACAAATGTGACATGGCTGGTAGGTGGCATAGCCGGGAGGGCAATCTTGTTCGCCTGTCTCCAGAGCCTGAGCTCTCCACCACCATGAGCACCAGGATGCCTGAAGCCCCACATCCTGCTGGCAGGAAGTAGACCCCAACATTGAAGGGGGGGCAGAAGAAAGGATGTCGGGAGCAGCCTGTGGAAGGGGAGCCCCAGAGGTCAGGACAAGTGGGGCCCTTGTGGGGAAGAGATGTAGTCCTCCAGGGGGCCAGGGCTTTGACTGCTGGAAGCCATCCTCTCCCTGGTTCTGAGAGAAAGCGATGTCTGTACTGTCCTGGAAGAAATTGCATGTTTATACATTTATCATTGCTTTGATCTTAATTTTAAATAAGATACATTTCCCTTCCTGTGGTGAATGCAGTCTATGTGGAATTATCTCTTCTTTAAATACTCATTCCCTGCTACTTTTTTTTTTTTTCACAACTCCATACCCTTCTGACCAACTCCTGGAAACCATCTTACAAGGCCCAGGGTACCATGTGGTCTTTGGTTGTATGTGCAGACCCTAAACTGAGCCAAGCTCCTTATATGTGGGCTTATCTTTTACAGATTATTGGGACCATTCCACTGATGCCTAATCCAGGGCCATCAAGCCAAGCAGCAAGTGGCACTCAGGGCCTTCAAGTACAGCCTATCACCCCCCAGCTCCTGACAAACGCCCAGGGCCAGATCATCGCCACAGTCATCGGGAACCAGATCCTGCCTGTGATCAACACCCAGGGCATCACGCTCTCCCCAATAAAACCAGGCCAGCAGGTAAAGTTCCCACACCAAACTTGCCATCCCTACCAGACACCTCTCTTTACCTCCCTTCTCTGTTTTGGTTTCAGTGAGAAGTAATCCTTGCATTACTAAATATTTAACCTTACTAACCCTAACATACTAATACTTAAAAAGTAACACACAACTTTATTTCTCATTCTTAGAATGTAGTAAATAACTAAATTGTTCTCTATTATAAAAAATGGGAATATATAAATTATAAACAGACAGTGGCCTAAAAATCCACTGAGATGTGTTTTATTCATCTATATCTAATTTTCAGACATTCTTAAATGAAGTAAAAAAAGAAACCAAGAGTGTTGACACTTTAACTGGAAATGAATAAAATTAAACACCGAGAGCACCCAAGTTGATGCTGGGATTACTGCCTTCAAGTGAGGAAATGAAAAGTAGAAAGTTGTGTTTGGTTGATTTTACTAAAACCACGATGAATCGGTTCATATTGTCATTAAATATTGTCAATTGAGCACTGCCTGTGTATTTATGCTAGAGGCTGGGCATACAGCATTGAAGAAGATAAACACAGTTCCTGGCCTCATGGAGTTCCTGGCTAATTGATTCTACTAAGAAACATTTTTTTAATAACCTACTATACAGTAGTAGGCCCCTGTTAAATTCTAAGATACAGAGACCCCCCCCCAAAAAAATGATTTCTGCTATTAAGGAACTCATGATTTTGTAGAGGACACACATACACACACACACACACACACACACACACACACACACTTTATTGTGCAACAAAGCAGAGAATAACCTACAACAGGTCAGTTATGACCACAGAGATGGTAGTGACCAACTTAGACCATAGAGTTTTAAGTCCTCCCAGAGAAAATAATTTGGGAACCACTGGGCAAGAGTTAACCAGGCAAATGAAGGGTTAACAGCATTCCAGGCAGAGAGAGTAGCAGGCACAAAGATAGGGCAAGAGGGCAGGATGTTGAGAAGCAGGAGGAAGGTTCAGGTGATTGGAGCATAGGAACAGTCCTGGATGGGCTTTGTCCTCTGGGTGATCCTGAACATGTTACATGTCCTCTTGGTGGCCCAGTTTCCTTGTCTGTGAGATGGGGATATACCAGCACCTACCTCACAGGGTACTTATGAAGGTGAAATGGTTCACATATATGAAGGGGTTAGAATAATACTTGGCCAGAGCAAGCACTAATTTAGTTGTGATGTTGGTGATGACTGTGAACATAAGGTTTACCCTGCAGTCTTAGGACTCTATAGTAGACATTGAAAAGGGAGATTGGAATGCTCAGCTTTATTTTCTTTTCCAGGAAAACAACTCTGATAGCATTATGAAGGTTAAAGTGATGAAACTTCTATTGTAAACAAGCCCTTGAGGAGATGATAGTAAAACACAAGCAAGAATAATAATTCTCAATAGAGAGTGGGTACTAGACAGCTGAAAATAAGTCTGGGATCATACAAGAGCTCAGGACAGAAGAGCCAGATCCAAGAGTCATGAGTACATTTGTTGTAGTTGAAAATAAATGAAACATCAGAGAAAGCATGAGGAGCAAGGGAAGGAGGGCAGAGCCATACATCATCTTAGGAACACCAGCTCTTAAGGGATAGAAAAAAAGGAGGAGAGAAGCTATGGTACAATAAGTCGGAGAGGATCCTGGAGCACTGTGATCTAGCATGCTAGAGTTTCAAAAAAGAAGCACATGGACAAGTATTAAATGCTGCATAGCAGGAATCAGGTGCAGCAAAAAAAGAACAATCACTCTTCTCTATTGTATTGTTTTAAAGTGTGGATCTTCCCTATTTTAAATACTTGAAACAAGTAGTCTGTTTAATGGGCAAGTCAAGAAATAAGAGAAGGGCAAGGCTAAGACCCAAATATAAAATTGGAGTGTACACTAGCAAAAGAAAGATGGCAGAAGGGAATGTTGGACACCAGCCGAAAGTGGGTGGCCAAGCAGATGCCTTTATGTGTTGTTGGGAAACTGAATAATACAAAGCAGTTGGCAAGGAAGTAAATTACAAAGGAAAGGGAGGGTGAACGCCACAATACCAGTATTCAACTACAACAATACAGAAAATCCTCCCAGAGTCCCCAGCCATTGTCTCCATTTGGCTTCTGATCTAACTACAAAAAGAGTCCATTCTTGGTGGCACTCAGAGGCTATGAAAGGAAAATACATTTGCTTGTTCAATTAATATTTAAAATCCTGTTTAATAAAAATATTTATGGACTGCCTACCATGTGTCAGTCACTGAACCAGGAAGTTCAGCTATGTCGGTGAGCAAGGCAAAAGGAGTCCTTCCCTCAGGGAGTTTAACAGTCTAGCAAAGGAGATGCACATTCATTAAAGACTTATAGAAATACCTACCTAAGGTCTGCAGCTAGTGTCATGAGGATATCAACACAGGAAAAACAGAGTCAGGTCTGAGTACACTTCCTAGACACAGCCTCTAGGTTAGGGCTACAGCAGTCCCAGGCACCACCTCTTCCTCCTTCCCTAGATCCCATGCAGTAAAGCAGTCCCTACCAAGCTGCCATTAAGGACTTTCCCTCCCTGTGTCTCTCAGATGACTAATTTCTTTGATAATCTACAAAGGTCCATTTGATTTTCTACCTTCTACTTGTTCCTCAAGTAAGGCCAGATTCTCTATCTTTCATGGTCTTTTAAGCCTAGTTCTACCTCATCCAAATATGTTCATAATTATCTGTAGGAATAAAAATGAGGAGATTTGCCTCTTTTCATACAGTATGCTAAAAGTTATTTCTGTCAGCAAAGCCAAGTTGTAAATTGCCAAAAAGGTGATGAATTAGTTAGAAATCATTAACATTTAATATAAAACAGCTCTCACTCTCACCTTGAATTTCAAAGGTGGCTGTGTGGGTGATAGACTACTGCTGTTACATAAAATTTCAGCTCCATATTTGAGGCATTATAATTTTTGCTCTAGGAGAAGGGCCTAGACAAGAAATGGTGCCACTCTTCACTCCTTGCCCACAGTAGCCATCAGTAACCCATGTCCACTGTTTCTCTCATGAGCCCAGACACACCTCCAGGGCCTTCTCACACTGTACCTGTGAGCCCTTAGAATGAAAACTTGTCACTCTGGAGGGAACCAATGATCCTCTGTAGGTATAACTACCACCTTTACCTATCCTCTTCATTGAAGTATCAGAAATTTTGCAACTGGGGGGAAAAAAAAAACAGCCACCTTCTTGTGGATATACTTTGCAAATCCAATTCGCATCAGCCACAGTATCTAAACAGTGGATTCCCTCTCATGTATGTGCATGCCACTCTCATGTATGTGCATGCCACTCTCATATATGTGCATGTACAGCGAGGAAACACATGAGCATAGCTGAAAAGAGAGATTTGGGAAACACCTTCAATTCCCAAGTCACAGCAGGCACCAAGAGGTCTCTTGTTCTAATTAAATCAGAGGGCTAACCTAGTCCCAATACAACTGAGGAACCAATGGTAAATCTGATCAGAGATATCAAGGAGATGATGAAAATAATGAATGGCTTCATTTCTTGTCATCGGCTCTGGTTGAAACGCTTTAGAACATAAGAAAAGTTAATGAGTTGGATGAATCAACAGATATGCAAGTCTGAGTTCAAGACTGTGAGTCAAAGGATCATAAAATCCCCAGAGTCAAAAAGTTAAAGGCTCAGAACCAGACATATAAGGATATATATTTCAATTTTTTTCTTTAAGTTTTACCCTTTAAGTTGAAGAAATATCATACGGACAAACTCTTTAAAAGAAAGGATTTCTATCATCCAGTGGAGAAGTTTCTCAATTTATTTTTTCAAGTGATTTATGACAAATCTCACAGAGCATAGTACTGACAGTAAAATAAGTCATAAATTATAGGAGCAGAGAGTCCCCTAACCCATACTCAGAAGGAAGTCCACTTTCACAGAGTGAATTATAGGACTGAAAGACCAATTGACCTGAAAGGATTCATTTTAATTTTAAAAAATAATAATTGCATCCTTAATTTATTTTACATCTGCTTATCATTAACTAAAGGGGCCTGAATAAAATCTAAGTATGGAGGATCTATCACTATTGATGTTTTATTTCTCTGGTGATAGACAAAGAAAAACCTGCAGTTATTGTCTGAAATACAAACAGTATTTTTTTTAAAAAAAATACATTAGAATCCAGAATCCCCAGATGAATATAGCTTCCACAGTGTCATATCAGAGATGCTTGGTGAGCAACACAAGAAGACAAAAACCAGAAAAGGACTAGGTGGAAAAAGAATAAAAATCTATGCACATACAAAAATTACTTAATATGAAAATATTTAGTGGAGCTCAAAAGTAACCTTTTATTCCACATTCTTGACACTTATGACAACAGACCTAAAGAAAGAGAATGGCTTCCAGTTCCCTGGCTTATCTTCCCCCTGATTGTCCTCTGACTGTGAACTAATAGTTTCTTCATAAGTCATACAGACCCCCATTTTTGTGCATATTTCTTCTTCCTTTGAATAAATACAAAAGTTAAGGGGAGATTTTAGGATCATGAAGAGGTAAAAATATTTGAAAGAAAAATATAAGTTGGAAAATCATAGCATTGAAATTTACTTTTCAAAAATTAAATACCATAGCTATAATTCTTAGAAATCACCATCCATGAAGACCTTCAATTTTTCTTCAAAAAGTAATCTTGGTGTTCATAGAAAGCCAATGGAAAGTGGCTTGTTTAAATTAATTCTCTTAAAATGCTGTGTGATTATCCAAATCCATCATTTTGTTTCCAAGTAAATGCAAAAATGTACTCATCTGTCAGTTTTTAAAAATCAGACTCCTTCCCCAGTCCTGGTTTAAGTTACTGTCTTCCAATTTTTTTTCTTGGAGCCACCCACAGAAGACATAAATGAGGCATTTCCATCCACAAGTGATCTAATATGGTACAGGGTTTCCCTTCGTAGTGATCCCAAAACAAAGCAGCCTTTTGACCCTCCTGCCAGGTATTTCAGCCTCT